TAGGATTTCAAAATTTTAGAATAGATAAACAAGATTACACTGTATAGCACAGGGAAATATACACAAAATGTTAATGATAAATCACAGAGAAAAAAATGTGACAATGAGTGTGTATATGTCCATGAATGACTGAAGAATTGTGCTGAACACTGGAATTTGACACAACATTGTAAAATGATTATAAATCAATAAAAAATGTTAAAAAAATAATGTGACTAGTTGTAAAAGAGTGTGTATTTTAATACTGCATTAGCATATATTTTATTACCAACATCATGTTAATCCATTTAAATTAAAAAGAAACTAAATTTTGAATAACACCATTATATTGCACAAGATTTTACAGTTTAGTGATGAATTTGCCTACCAAGACAATCTTATGTTAACTCTAGTATCTGCGTACATGGATATCAGAGATGCTCTATTTTATGTTACTGAGTTATCCATTACACTTCCTAGAGCATAAGGCAATGAGGAATACTTAGTGGAATTTTGTGTTTCCATTTTGAGAGAATTTATGCAATTATACACTAAAGAAGAAAGAGAAAAGTAAACTACAATCATAGTAACATACAGTTTATACAGTTCTTAGAATGATATATGCATTCTACAATATTCTTAGGTTGTCATGAAAAATCAAGGAGTTCTATCAGTTAGGTATCTGAAAAGATTGATATAAACATTAATGGTATTCAGAGGCTAAATAATATTAGGTTATTAGATATTACATATCAATTCTTTGCATTGGTTAGAATATATTAACAGTGCACTGAAGCACTAAATAAATGGACTTCTCTAACTTAACTTGCTATCAGTAAATCATTAGAAAATAGGATCAAATGGCACCAGTATGTAGTAATTTGCTTGCAGTGCTGGATAGGTGAATGAGATCATATATATAGGTATCTATATCTATAGCTATCTATATTAGATGCATTTATATGTGTGTATAAAATAGCTTATAAATATCACACATTAATGAAATATCATGGATGTAGTATGTACTCCATATAAAAATGTGTATGTAAACATTCATGTTTAGTAAAGAACACCCTTTTTTTAGTGTTCTGTATATAGCATTTTCCCTGTACAGCACAAGTCTTTCTGGTTTTTTGCTCATTGTCACTAGCAAGACAACAACCTTTTAAAATTTGTGTTGTCATCAACTATGAGCACTGTCAGCTGCACCATCTTGTCTGCATTAGGAGTTCTTTA